TGACTCCTCCCTGCAGTCCCAGGGGTGTGACTCCTCCCCGCAGTCCCAGGGGTATGACTCCTCCCTGCAGTCCCAGGGTGTGGCTCCTCCCTGCAGTCCCAGGGGTGTGACTCCTCCCTGCAGTCCCAGGGATATGACTCCTCCCTGCAGTCCCAGGGTGTGGCTCCTCCCTGAAGTCCCAGGGGTGTGACTCCTCCCTGCCATACCAGGGGTGTGAATCCTCCCCGCAGTCCCGGGGTGTGACTCCTCCCTGCATTCACGTGGGGGATCCGCATGTCCCTGCTGCTCAGGCGAATGTGGCCATGGGGTGAGGTGTGAGGACAGTAAGTTAGGCGGTGACTGGGAGCCCGCAGTACTTGTGTGGGCAGCTGGTGTGGGAATTGCACACACAGGCCCTGAGTCCAGAGGTAGAACTGCCCGCAGGGCCCAAGGCCTTTGGCTTCTCCGTGGGGGGTCTCTCGTGAACCAGTTCTGATTAATGACATTTTGATGCTAATTTTGCTTTTAGTGCTCTTGCCCCAAGGCTGGCTGTGTTGCTGGAAGCCGACCCCCACACACACTGCTGCAGAAATCAGTGTTTCTCCACATTCCTGGCCCTTTAGGGCAGGAAGCAGGGAGAGCCAGGTGTGCGGGGTGGGCGCAGCCCGGGGCTGACAGGCCGGGCTCTCCGGCAGTGTCACGAGTGCCCTCTAGGTGGCGCAGCTGAGTCTGCAGCGGAAAGCCCCGGGGGACCGGCCGAGCTTGCAACTTGCAGATAGGACGGGGAGCCATAGAGAAGAGTTCCAGGCGCGCTTTACAGCAGAGCGGTGGTGGGCTGAGGCAGAGCTGTGCTGCCCTGGTCCCGGTACCCGCTGCCCTGGGACGCAGAGCACCTGCTGGGGAGAGCTCTGGTGTGGAGACCCTGCCCGGCCCACACTGGCGCAGCCAGCCATCTGCCAAGCCGGGAAGCTGCCGTGGCACGCGGACCAGGTAAGCCTGGGTACTGTCCTCTGGGTTTCCAGTCTCTGGCTGCGGACGAGCCTAAGTGCATTTTTCAGATGCACGTCATGTTTTGCTGCGTTCGGACAAGCTTTAGTGACTGCGAGTGCCACCCGTTCTCAGACCTAGGTTGCTCCTTTGTTTTCGGGAAAACACCAGAAATCCCAGCTTGCTGTCGGTTGCACATTTGGTTTGCGAGCCCAGCTCTGTGTGTGCTTTGCAGGCTGTGGGATTTGTGCTCGGAAGCTGGCGAAGTGCACGTCTCTGCTTTGCCGGAGCCTAGGTCCCTGGGAACGTGAGAAGGGGTTGGAGCCTCAGTCAGGGCGCTCAGACCCAACCCCAGAGGATGCCGCGGACCCACCGCGGGGAGAGGGTGAGGTCTTCATTTCCACTGAGAGGTCCCCCATGCTGGGACAGCTGCAGGAGAGCGGTCCCGTGTTCCCAGTGCGCTGCTGGCGCGGAGTCTCCCTGCTGTGCTGTGGGGACGAGCGAGCGGGACGAGCGTCTGGAGGGGTGCCGAGCTCCCGGCTGGAATCAGGTGCCAGAGGAGCAGAGCAGAGCCCACTCCAGGACGGGGACAGCCTCAGGGACACAGGGGGGCCAAGAGGTCAGCTCCTGCCCAGACCTCCAGCAGCTGCTCTGCGGGTCTGAGCGGCACTTGGAGACCTTTCCCGACCAAGAGCAAGCCTACGAAAAGGCGCAGAGCCGAGCGGGTGCCTGAGACAGAGCTCCTCCAGCCTGGCTGAGGTCAGGGCCACTTCCAACCTTCACAGACACATTTAGCAGAGCCATGGGAAGGGGATCCTGTCACCCAGTCAGGAGCTAACTGCCATGCACCCTGCACCTCTGGAGGAGACAGGGTAGGGATCTGTGGCCTCATCCCCAGGGAAGCTGGGCTGCGCAGAACGGCATTCCCCACCCCCCGAGACAGCAACTGGAAGACAGGATAAAACATCCCTGACAGGTTTGCGGATTGTTCTCTGACCCTTGCCTGATCTCCTACCTTGCAAGCAGGATTATCATGTTGTCCAAGAGACACACAAAGCGTCTCTAACTTAGATGGCTCGTGGTGTTTGGGCTCCCCATGGGGTGGAAGCCAGTGGTGTTCGGCAGAAACTGTTCTTGGGTGTTGAGTCCGGACCCTTCCTGGGCTGATGATGCGGATCTGACCATCCTGGGCCGCTGGCAGGTGCTGGGAACAATGAGGCCCGTGCACAGGCTGCTGGCCTGGCGTCTCACTGGCACATGCACTGCGAGCTCTGTGACTTACAGCATGCAGCTTGCTGTGGGCTGCAGGCGTGGCTCTGTTGCAGGTGGGGGTCACCTACATGTGAAATGGAGTGGTGTCAGGGGCTCTGGCTTCTTTCCTAAGTGTCTCCTGCCCTGAGCCCAGCATCGAGCCTCACACAGGGAGGTGCCCAGCAAGGGCAGTGTTGTCCACCATGTCACCAAGTGCAAAGCGAGTACTTCCTTTAACTCTGAGTCAACTAATGCCCCATTCTGGGCCAAGGGAGAGAGACTGGTGTTTTCCAAAGAATGGAATCTGTTCTCAAGGAAAGACCCAGGGGCCCTACTTCAAAGGCTCAGCAAACCTAAAATTCAGACCCAGGAGCTGTGAGGGTGGCCTCCTGGCGGCTGGCCCTGGGAGGCTCACCTCCCCACTCTTAGCAGCTCCCCCACCGCCCCGCAATTATCCCAGACGACACCTGCCTCAGTGTGCCTTTGATGCTGTTTGGGCTCTGCCTGGCTTATTCCTCCCACCAGGCATCATTAATTAGCCATATTAAGCTCACTTAGCACATTAGATCAATTAGAAAACAAAAACCTGCCCCATCCACCCTTCCCCAGTGCCCCTGAGTTTACCTACTGCAGAGGCACTTGCTTTTGCTTTCTGAGATTACTGCTTTCCTTAGGCACAAAGCGAAGGAGGGAAACTGCCGTCTGCTCACCTGGCCTCTGCCACACATTTCAGCAGCACACTCACCACAGAGCACTATTGTGTTCATCTCGTTTCCCAAAGAAAAACCAGGTTCAGAGAGGTCCCTGCATGGGCAGGCACATAGCCAATAACTGTTAGGAGCACACTGGGAACTGGGAGCCAGGAGCCCGGACCAGAGCCGGGTCCTCAGCCTCACATGCCTGCCCAAATGACCCCAGCATGCCTCAGTTTCCCCTAGTCATGTCAGCCCTGGAGGCTGTGCACATACTCACCTCCTGTCCTGGTCAGAGTCAAGGCCTCAAGAGGAAACAATCTAAGCTTTGTAAGTCTGATAAAGGTTGGTGATAGAGGACAGTGTTAGCTTTTCCACAAGGAGAAAGCTGTCAAGTGTAGGCAAACTCAGAGTGCTCCATCTACCACAGTTATGAAACTGAGATGATTGTTTTGAATGGCCTTGGGGGCCCAAGAGTCCCAGCTACCCCCTTGTAGAGCTGGAGGTTGTGAGCCCAGGATGGCCAGCCCTTGCTAGCAGAGGAGGCTCTGTGGATAGGGGAACATTCATCAGCGCTTAGGGTCCTACCGCTGAGGGCTCCCCTGCCTGTCACCCCAGCACAGTGCGGCGCTCCATAGAAACATGGCCAAGGAAGGTGTCACCAGCATTCCAGCCACATAGGGAGGAAGGGGCTGCTCAAACACGAAAGTGCCTGAGGTGATTCCACCCCAAGAAACTCAGCCCTGTGACACCACTGTTATCACTCCTAGCCTGGCTCCCAGGGCTGGACAACTGGAGAAGCAGGCCTCAAAGCCCATCCAGCCTCTGTACCCCTGGAATACCCGTGGTGTTTGGTTTCTGTTCTGTGCTTGTGTTGACATCCCTGCATGTGCCCCAGCAAGCTCATGTCATGGCCAGAAAGCCTGAGTGCTCATGCAGAGGGTGTCACCTTCCCTTGTGGGTCCTGGTGAAACCAGCAGGTGGAGCCACCACAACCAGGTCACATCACCGTCACTCATGAGGCACATAGAGCCAAGCGTGGCTGGGCATTTCTAGATCCCAAAGCATCCATACCACTGACAGACCTTCAGTGGCAAGAGGCGAGCAGAGAGAGGTGAGTCCAGCACAGTCTCAGTTACTCTTCTCTCGTTGCTGGGATAAATACCCGACACCCAAAATGAAGGAAGGAAAGGCTTATTTAGCTCACAGTCGTTGGAGGTTTCAGTCCATACTCAGCTGGCTCCAAGCAGAGCAGCACACGGCAAAGGGCAACCTTTCCTGGTGGCAGCAAAGAGCAGAGAGCAAAGGGAGCAGCAGCTCAGGCAGCCAGCTGGCCTCTCTCCCCTCCTCACATTGTAATGCAAACTGCCTGCCCAGGGCGGGTGCAGCCCCCACACCCACAACAATCAAGCACAGACTCCAGAAGCCGCCCCAGGACTGCATGAGGCTTTGGGGGACACCTAGACACAAGCCATAACAGTGCCAGTCCCGGAGAGTAACAGTGGTGGCCATAATGCCAACACCAAGATCCTGACAGAAAGCACTTTCTTAGCGCAGGAGAAGGAGGTGCAAACTAGTCTGGAGATAGAGACGGGGTTCCCCGATGACTGCCAACCACCCCAGACCTCTTCTCCTCGCATCTCTGTGGTGCCACCTTTCCAGTTCCCTCATCCCAGCCTCCACGCCTAGGAGGGCTTCAGGTGGGCTCGCAGCTCCGTCACTCCTTCAGCAAACCTTCTCCGAGCATCAGCAGTATGACACAGAGTGCTCTGGAGACAAGACAGTGTCCCTGTGCTCAGCGGGCTTAGGTTCTCAGGGAGGAGAGAGACCATGACACAAGACACACATCCGACTTCGCCAAGAGACAAAGGAGGGGCAAGCAGGGGGACAGCCTGGGAAGGGACACTGCTCAGGGACGTGAGTCAGGGAGTGAGCCAAGGGACCCAGGAGTGGGCACTGAGCAGGGAGCGCGAGAGGCCCCGTGCCGGCTCCAAGCCGATGGCCAGAGTCCTTTGGGCAGGACAGAGGGAAGACGCGAGAGGACAGGAGGCGGGGAGGCAGGAGCCACATCCCCTGGGACCAGGGGCCGTGGGAGGAGACTGTGAGCAAATAACTGGATGCACAGGCGTGAAGTTCAGCCAGGTCTGCTCCAGCCATTGTCATCTGGGGCAGTCCATACCCACAGCATACCATGCCATAGCTTACCCATACCACACCACGCCTCACCACAGCTCACACACCTCACCATATTACACGGCTCACCACGCCTCACCACAGCTCACACACCTCACCATATTACACGGCTCACCACGCCTCACCACAGCTCACACACCTCACCATATTACACACCACACCACGCCTCACCACACTGCACCTCACCACGCCTTACCACACCACACCATACCATACCTCAGCATACTACACCATATCATATCACACCTCACCACAGCACACCGCTCCACACATCACCACAACACACTATGCCTCACCACACCTCACCTCACCAAGCTGCACCTCACCACACCTCACACACCTCACCACACTACATCATACTACACCTCACCTCACCGCCTCAGTGGCTGTACCCATAGTATCAGCCATCAGTGTGTGGAATACATAGTGCCCACTCATAGGTCAGAACAGGCAGCATGAGGAGTTAGCAGTGTGGAGGTTCCCCGTCCACCAACATCTGTCCTTTGGGCAGGGCACTCACAAGAGAGGGACTGTTTCTGAGAAAATCTTCAAAGATCTTGACTGCAACACTTGCTTCCACCTCCAAAAGTGCGGAGCTCTATTCTCAAGGCTAAGCAAGTTACCCAGGACAGAAACTGCCTAACCGTCTCCAGGTGAACTTGTGGCCTCCCCCCCGCCCCCCGCAGGGTATTCTCTGGGCGCTCTGGCAGAGACAAGTTGTTACTAAGGCCTCCTGCCCGTGAGGAAAGTGTGTTGCAGTGCACACCTGGGAGATGGCTGAGTGGAGGCCCTGGGAGCCAGCCATGTGGACCTTCCCCTCAGGCAGCCACTCTTGGGGCAGCATGACGTGGCAGGCTGAGATTCGTG